CACCGGGATCGCTGCCCGGCCGGCCCGGCCCGCCACCCCCCTCCGTGGGAGCCGGCTCGGAGCAGCGACCCAGGCCGAGGGCCAGGCGCACGGACGCACGGAGCCCGCCTGGTTCTCGGAGCTTTATAGCGGACAGTACAAAGACCCCGTACAAAACAACGCGGGGGCACGCGGGGCAGGGGGTGCCTGCCCCGAGGAGGAAGGGGGGGGCAGCTCCCGGGCTGATGGCACCAGGCTCTCCCAGATGCCAGGGCATGGCAGGGCCCAGCAGCCTGTGGGAGCCACAGGGAGGGCTCCCTGTCAGCAAGGGCCTTCCAGAAACAGCCCCGGGCTGGAGCTGGCCCAGGCAGGGAGGCAGAGAGAGGGTCACGATGCCCACGGTGCTGGGCAGCTGCCCTGGAGCCACCAGCCCTCACAAGGAAGCTCCTACACGCCTGCAGACCAGGTTGTGCCCAGGGCAGGCACTGCCCTGGCAAGGGTACAGGAGCTTCCTTCTGTAGGAATTTGGCCTGGCCACAGTACCCAGTGCTGGCACCAGCCCCCCAACCCCATGAGTCCAGTCCCAGAGTCCCCACAAACTCCCACAGTCACAGAGCAGTTATGGAGCTACCTCCAGCCCACAGAGCTCGAGTCCTACAGTCCAGCTTCTCCTAGCAGCCCCAGGACTACATAGGGCACAGGCCCTGAGTGCTGAGACCGTGAGGCATCCAGGACGCAGCAGCCCTGAAGTGCTGCTCTCCCACCTTCTGTGCTGCGGGGCAGGGCCAGTCTGTGCCACATGTGGGAGGGGCAGCGCCCCCTCCAGCCACCACCAGTAACCCAGAAGCGAAAGGCGCATGCTGGTAGACAGGAGATCCAAGCTGCCCCTGGGCACCAGCTCCCAGCCAAGACTCTGTCATCCACAGGTGCCAGGGGCTGGTACAACTTGAGGGGCAGAAGGGACAACAGGCCCCTGGCAACCCCCTCAGGGCCAGGGCTCCACAGCAGGATGCCCTTGTGCTCCATGCCAGCCCATCAACAACTGCACGGCAGGCAGAGGCCACAGTGCTGGGGCCAATGGCTACCCTCTGACAGCTGGTCTGAACACCTCAGCAGGGTGTGCACTGAGAGGTGCCCACCCAGGGGGAAGGGCAAGGGGGTGCACCACTGGCATCCCGGCACGTCTCTTGCTGGCAGACATGGGGCAGGGGGGTGACAGGGCAGGGGACAGGGCCCAGGGAGGAACGAGTCTGGTGGGGGCAGCGGGCCCGCCTGGCTCAGCCGTCATTGGCGGCCACCAGCTGCCCCAGGCCCTCGCGGATGTAGACGGACTGGATCTCCTTGGTCTTGAGGCAGTAATCACAGGCCCAGACAGCCGAGGCCTCAGTGGTGAGCAGCCCATAGGCGTTCTCTGTCATGCCCGTGCACTCGCGATGGAACCACTTCTGGCAGGAGGCCTCACACAGGATGGCATCCTGGTCGTCGTTGACCTCGTTGCGGCAGGCCCCACAGGGGTACACCAGGCCCGGTGGTGGCTGGTGCCCTGAACTGCCAGGCGCCTTGCTGGGCGGTGGGAGGCTGTTGGCCTCAGGGGTGCTGCTGCTGCGGGTGGTGCTGCCAGGGGCGAAGCTGGGCTGGGCCCCATTGACTGCAGCTGGTGAGCCCGAGTGCTGCTCCTGACTGAAGGTGCTGGCGGGCGGGTTGAGGGGCTTGGCTCCATCCTCCGCGCCGGCCGGGAAGCCGGGGTCGGCCCCAGGAAAGGGGCTGGTGTTAGGGGGAAGGTTGGGCAGGGTCTGGCTGGGCCGCTGCATGGGCGACTGTCCGAAGAGGGTGCCCGGCTGGCCGAACCTCTGCGCCATGGAGGGGCCACCTGGGGGGTTCAGCGCGGGCCCCGGCCCCATGTCCGCCCGCGGTGGCTGCCCCATGGTGGGCGAGATCATGGGCCCGAAGCCCCCGACAGGGCCCTGCAGGAGCTGCCCGGCCGTGGGGCTGAAGTTCTGTCCGAGGGACTGGCTGAAGGGCTGGCTGGGGAAGCTCATACCGCCGGGCTGCACATAGCCGGGGGCCTGGGGGGGCAGGCTGAAGGCTGGGCCCATCTGGCCGGGTGCGAAGGGGGGCGGCTGGCGACGCAGGGGCTGCGGGCCCCCACCGTAGCCCGGCGGCACCGGGGCGGCCATGGCACCCTGCATGCGGAAGCTGGCGAAGGGCACGGGGCTGCCCAGAAACGGGGCTGAGGCAGCGCCCACCTTCGGCGCCCCAAAGTCATCCTCGAAGGGGTTGGAGGCCACGAGGTGGTCCACCATAGGCGTCGGCGGCGGCGCGAACTCGGACAGGTGCGAGTAGGCCGGGCCCTAAGGGGGGAGCGCGGTTACCGGGGGCGCGGCTCGCCTGCAGACGGGCGGGGGGGGCCGCGTCCCAGCCCGGGGAAGGGGAAGGGGAAGGGGACCCGCCTCACCCGCCCTACCTGGGTGTTGGATTTACGGCGCTTCTTCTCAGGGCTCTTCATCTGCAGGCCTGCGG